GATCCATTTGGGGTTTACTTTTGTGTATGGGATTAGACAGTGATCCAGTTTCATTCTCTTGCATGTAGCTGTCCTTTCTTGCCAACACCATCTGGCCAACAGAGTTGATTTTTGATGAGGCCTCTCTCCTTGGCTTGTAGATGACCACCTCTCACTATGTCCTCACATGACCTTTCCTCTGTGAACACCACTCCTGGTGTATCTGTTCCTCTTCTTATAAGGACACCAGTCTAATTGGATTAGGGCTTCACTCTAAGGCCTCATTTAACCAGAATTCCCCCCTTAAAAGCCCTATTTCCAAATACAGTCACATTGGGGGTTAGGGCTTTAACAAATGAATTTGGGGGGCACAATTCAATCTGCAGCAAACTTTAAACCCTCATGATTTCGTTTTAGATATATGTTTTGTATATATTTGTGTGCAGTGGATAATTTTTAAGAGTATCATACTGTTTTGTTTGGTAACTTGCCTTTTAAATTAACCATCATGGCTATCCTTGCATGTGAATAGAGGCATTTCAGCACATTTTTAGTGGAATTATATTATTTCATTGTTTGGATGTTAGGTAATACTCTTTTGACATTTGTGTTGCTTTTTCTTTTTGCTATTAAAACTTTGAATATATATCTCTGTGCACTTATGTGATTATTTCTTTATGATGAAGTCCTAGAAGTGGACTGCTGGGTCATAGAGATGTAAAAGTTTTTAAAGCGTACTGCAAAAAGTCTTCCTGAAATGCTGTATCAATTATAAACAGCAGTGTATATATACGTGTCCCCATCCATATCTCCATCCTCCTAGCAACTCAGTATTTTTTTGTTTGTTTTTTATTAAGTTATCATTGATATATATTCTTGTGAAGGTTTCACATGAAAAACAATGTGGTTACCACATTCACCCATATTATTGAGTCCCCCCCATTGAAGTCATTGTCCATCAGTGTACTAAGATGCCATAGAGTCACTACTTGTCTTCTCTGTGCTGCACTGTCTTCCCCATGACCGCCCCCACACCATGTGTACTAATCATAATACCCCTCAATCCCCTTCTCCCTCACTCCTCACCCTCCCACCCCAATCCCTCCCAACCCCTCCCCCTTGGTAACCTCTAGGCCTTCTTGGAGTCTATGAGTCTGCTGCTGTTTTTTTTTTCCAGCTCTCTTACTCTTTTTTTGTTTTTTTGTTTTTATTAAGGTATCATTGATATACAATCACATGAGCAACATTGTGGTTAAGTTACTAGATTCCCCCCATTATCAAGCCCCCACCACATACCCCATTACAGTCACTGTCCATCAGCATAGTAGGATGCTATAGAGTCACTACTTGTTTTCTCTGTGCTATACTTCCTGCCCCATGCCCCCCCTACATTATGTGTGCTAATCATAATGCCCCTTAATCCCCTTATCCCTCCCTTTCCACCCACCCTCCCCAGTCCCTTTCCCTTTGGTAACTGTTAGTCCATCCTTGGATTCTGTGAGTCTGTTGCTGTTTGTTCCTTGAGTTTTGCTTTGTCGTTATGAGACAGGGACCATGGGTCTAGTCAAAGTAGGGTGAGGGCCTCCAGAAAAAGCAAGGCAGGATATTTACAGTCAGAGCAATGTAACTACATGGAAGGAAACCCCCTACCAAATGTGTTAAACATTAAGCTTTAGAGTCATTCTTCAGTGAGATCAGTTAATATTCCACAGATAAAAGAGAGTAGCCCATGTTTTTATTATGCTAATCGTTTGTAATTGTGTGTAAGATTCACTTTAGCATGCTGAAAGGCCCAGGCCTCTGTGCTGTCTTTCCTCCTTCACACCTGATGAGGTAATTTGCAATCTGGGCAATTAATAATGGCAAGCAAGCCCTGCCATAAACAACATAGTAAAAGGCAGGAAGGATTCCATCTTAAAGACAAGATTGTATTTTAATACCCAGGAAGTTAAGAAGTAAGGTTCTTAACTTACTCTTTAGCAAACAGACAATACCTCAGCCCATCTTAGGGGCTGGGCAGGCAGTCTTGTTTGATATGCTCCCAGACCAAGATGCCAGTATCTCAGGGAAAAATCAGAGCAGGAAGTTCCTTGTGTTAATTTTAAATATTCAGGGACCACTTAACAAGTCCACACCCCTACATCTTTTTTCATGTTGCCAAAAATCCTCAGCTGTCTATAAAACCACTGGACAACACACAACTACATGTCTCTTTACATGGAAGTAATTTCCCCTCTTGGAGAGACCTGGGGGAAGGGGGGGAGCTGTTTATGAGAGGCGTGTGTGTAACACCGATTGCAGAGTATTGGTACTTGTTCCTTCCTGGCATGAGCCAGGAGCTCTGTCCTCTTACTTTATATCTAAATAAAAGACTTTCCCTGGCTCTCCTACCTTGAGTGTTTGCTAAATTCATTCTTCTTCAACTCCGCAAACAAGAACCCCGGCATCAGTTACACTCCACAAATGAGGGAAATTATTTGGTACTTGTCTTTCTCTGCCTGGCTTATTTCACTGAGCTTAATACCCTCTAGCTCCATCCATGTTGTTGCAAATGGTAAGATTTGTTTCTTTCTTATGGCTGAATAGTATTCCATTGTGTATACTGTACCACACCTTCTTTATCCATTCATCTACTGATGGACACTTAGGTTACTTCCATACCTTGGCTATTGTAAATAGTGCTGCAATAAACATAGGGGTGCATCTGTCTTTTTGAATCTGAGAACTTGTTTTCATTGTAGCAACTCAGTATTTTTATAATTTTTGGCTAATTTGATCAGGGGAAGAAGACACCTCGTTTACGTAAAACCCACAGTTTGTTCTTTCAGACGCCTCTGGCTCCCTGGAGGGGCTTGGGGAACCTAATGGAAAAAATTCAACTGAGTTTAGCTATGGGTTATCAGTCGGACAGACAAATGAATTACAACAGGCAGTAAGAAGGACGCTAAAGGTAATCTGCAGGAGAAGGGAATTTTAAAAGTTCTTTCATGAAAGGGGCAATTGTTAAAATTAGGTTTTAAAGTTCTAAACTTTAGTTAGGCTCCTCACTCTCGATTAGCTGAAATTGCTTCCGTAAAGAAAACCGTATCTGCTGACCACTCTGAGAGGTTAATACCAGGAGTCCAACGCATCATCCGCAGCCGCGCTGCAGCCATTCATTTGAGTGACAGCGGGGCGCGAGGACGCAGGTGGCCGCCGCTCGGTCCCACAATGCTCCGCTCGCGCCACTCTGAGGGCGGAGAGAAAGGACCACTGCCGGGGCAGGGATCCGTGGGGAGTGCCGAGAAGTGCGCACGCGCACAGACCCTTACGGGCCCTAGCAACCAAAGCGGTGACAGTAGCAACGGCCGGAATGGTGAGTACCCTCCACGTCTCGTAGCCAAAGCTGAGAGGAGACTGGAAGTGGAAATGGGTGACTGTGGAGTGTTGAGGGTGGGGGTCGGGGGTCCTTGAACAGCAGAAGGGAGCTGGTAGTGGACACCGACTTCGTGGAGTTAGAGGCCTGAGGCGAAAGAGAAGCCCTGGCACCGGATGGTCTGGGGTGAGTGCGGCCTGGGGTTGGTTGGAGGTTGGGTTAAAGTGGAGGGACTCTGGCCGAAGAAAGGGAGGGAAAAGAGCAGGACATTCTCGAAAAAGAGCAGGTTAGAGTGGGAAACGTGATGGAAGGGAGAGTGTGAATAAGGATGTCTCTTTACATGGAAGTAATTTCCCCTCTTGGAGAGACCTGGGGGAAGGGGGGGAGCTGTTTATGAGAGGCGTGTGTGTAACACCGATTGCAGAGTATTGGTACTGTGATGTGCCCAGGCTGCCCTCTGAATGTTATTAGATAACATGTACCCACTCCGACAAAATATATTGGAGTACTGTTTCCCCAATTTCAGTATGCATAAGTATGATTTTAGTTGGCGTAAGTATGAACTTACTCAATGGTCTGTTCCGTCAAAGCTCTTTGTGAAGTAACGATTTTACCTAGTGATTTTACCTCAACTCCTGCTTAGTTTGAAAAGGGATGTTGTTGGTTGGTTACAGACCCAGCCAAAGCTTTTTAAGCAAAGTATGTGATTTTCCTACCTGATGGACATGCTTATGAAGAATAAGTATTATTAGTTGTCTTCTTTTTTGTGATTCCAATGCAATATAAGGGAGCAGAAATTGAACCTAGGAAACTGAAATACTGAAGAGACCATGCCCATCCTCAACCGCAAGATTAAATACCAGTCTTTTAAAAGTAGTTTTCTGCCCTGCTTTCTTTACTTTATTCCACAGACATTTAGCTGAAAAATTACTGCCAAGGAAAGTAAAAAGTTCTGGAGTCTAGGTTTATATTCAGGTAAAGAAATAATCAGCTCTAAGTAATCCTGAAATGTATCAACCATGAAAGTTATTGAAAATCTTCAAATAGAAGAACAGAACAGTCATTAGATGAAGCTAGCTGAGGCTGCAAACTGGTAGTGCTGGAACCCTCCAGAAACACAGGCCCACACAGATTTTTAATTTAAAAAAAATTAGCTTCTAAAGTCTTTACATGATCATGTTCCATATTTAAGATTTCTGGCTTTCTGGAAAATCAGAAATCCCATATTTCACCATTGAACACTTTTTTCCCCACATTTTTGTGTTACTGAAATATGGTATAATAGGCAACATCTTAATAGTACTTAAAATAAGCATGTTACTTTCAATTTTTGAAAAAAATGTGATACTAGGGTACCTCTTTTCCCAAATCCCACCTGCTAAAGTTTTCTGGAGCCAAGTAGAGGTTATCTTCTGTAAGTGGCCAGCTTTAGTCATTAATGATGTCATTTCAGTTTTTGACTCCTGCTATCTATAGGGGAGCTAGTGACCTTACAGATCAATTTATAAACAGCTAGATTGCATCCACTTGAAAGTATTCTTATATATGTCTTTCTATGGACCCATGCAAGAATTTCTCTGGGAAATATATCCAGGAGTGGAATTGTGGAGTCATAGGGTCTTGTGCATATGTAATTTCCCTAGGCACTGTCAAACTGCTTTCCAGAATGGCTCTGTAAGTTCTTACTTCCTTTGGTAATGCAGGAGAGTTCCCATTTTCTTTACATTCTCATCAACTTTTTAACTTTTACCAATCTCAGGATGTATTTAATATCTCATTGTTTTATTCTGTATTTCTCTGGTTTTCATGAGTTCAGATACCTCATAATATTGTTGGTCATTTAGATTTCATTTTCTATGAATTTTATTTTATGTTTTTTGCAAACTTTTTCATTTTTCTTTTTGGTTTTGAATTTTAGGAGTTCCTTGTATATTCTAGATATTTGTTGGTTTTATGTTGAAAATATCCCCTCCCAGTTTTTCCATTAACTTTGTCAGCAGTATTCTTCACTTGCTGAACTCCATTTGTTCTAATATTTGTCAGCTCATTCTACTTTCTACACAGATGATCATCTGCACATAGTGAGTTTATTTCTTTTAATCATTCTGATTTGTATTTCTTTTCATTATAATGTTGATAAAGATCTCTTGTACCATGTTAAACAATAGCAGTGATCAAGGCATCCTTGCTGTGTTTGGGATCGTAAAAGAGAATACTTTTAATATTAACTGTCCCAGTTTGCCCCACCTTGACCACCTTACTTAAAATAAAGATTCTCCACATTCATATTTATACACATCCTGATACCCCTTACCAAGCTCAGCATTTTTTTCCTTAGTAATTGTCCCCTTCTAACATACTGTATAATTTATTTACTTATTAAACATATTATTTACTGTCTATCTCCCACCAATAGATGTAAGTTCCTTGAAGGCAGGGATCTTTGATTTGTTCATTTTATATCCTAAGCAGTGGAAGAATGTCTGATACACGGTTGATCTTCTCAGTGAACATTTTGCTGAAATGAATGAATTTCTCCATTAGGTATGGTGTTTGTTGTAGCTTTTTGGTATGTAGCTTTTATCAAGTAAGGAATTTCCCTTTAACTCTTAGTTGAGAGCTTTTAATATCAGTTGTAGAACTTTATCAAGTGCTTTTCCTGCACTTATTAAAATAAATGTGATTTTTCAGCCCTGTAATCCATTAAAAAATTATTTGCATTTATAGATTTTTCTGTTGTTAAACAATCCTTACATTTCTGGGATAAGCCATTCTTGATCGTGATCACTAAACACCATTGACTTTGGAAACTAATACTGTATCTAGAATTTTCAAATCTGGGTTGAGAAGTAACAACAGCTCCTTATCTGGTTATGGCATCAAGGATATTCTAAGCCTCATAAAATAACTTGGCAGCTTTCTCTTTTTCTGGTTTCTGAAACAACTTGTATAACAGGGAATATCTGTTCCTTGAAAGCTTGGTAGAACTCACTTGTAAAATGATTAGGCTTGTAACTTTAGGGGAAGAAGCTGAGGGAAAATTTCTTTGATTATCTTTTTAATGTTTTAAATAGTTATTGGTCTATTCAAATTTTCTGATTCTTCTTGTGACAGTTTTGGCACTTTTCTGTTTTTTCTAGAAATGCATACTTTGTCTAGGTTTTCAAACTTACTACCATATATTTGCTTATAATATTTCATGTTTAAAATCCCTGTAGTATCTGTTACTGCTCTGTATTAATTGTACATTTTTATTCTGTATATCTCTTTCTTTTGCTCAGACAGGCTTGCCAGAGATTTAAGAACCAACTCTAAGTTTCTTTAATCTCCCCCTACCCTCTCCTGGTTTTCATTGACTTATTTCTTTGTATTTCCTTCTGTCTTCTTTGGGTTTGCAATGTACTTTCCAAATATTTTGAATGCTTAGCTTATTCCTTTTCTATCTCTTGTTCTCTTTATTTTCAAGTAAATGTATTTAAAGCTGTTAGCTTCCTTTTAAGTGTTATATTCATCAAATTTTGACATTTTTGTCTTATATGTTATTATTTTACTTTAATTTACAATTTTCTTTTCTTTCTAACCCAAGGGTTATTTATTAGTATGTCTTTACTTTCTAGACATAATGGTATATACTTTTAAGACTTTTCTTCTGTTATTGTTTGGAGTTCTCTCTTTTTTAAATGAGCTCCAACAATAATTCAAAGGATGTCTTCCTTGGCTCCCCTTTAAAGTTTTAAATATCATATTAAATTGAATTTAAGCTACAACTGATTATAAGATGTAACATTATTTATGTTCTACTAAGAAAGAAAAATAAGTTGGAATTAAACTATGAAAACTTCTTATAACTTAGAATGTTCATTTTGTACTTATTAACAGAATTTTTTAAAACGTATTTAGGCATATAGTTTTATCATATGCCTCCTTTGCAAAGATAAAAAGGAATCTATGTATATGAAATAAAAGGTCAATATTTTCCTGAAATTTCACCACTGCCACCTGGCCACAGCAACTGTAAATTATTCCTAGTTGTAAAATGCATCCAAATTTCAAATATGTTAAAATGTAAAAGAAGATAATAGGTCTTAGAATCAATGAAATAAGATATATTTTAATGTCAAGTGTTGAAAGCTATATACTTTTTATATATAAACCAAGTGGGAGTGTAATATATGGGCATTACATCATGATTTTCTTAATTTCTCTGAGAGGTATTCAAATAAATCATTCTGATTTCAGAAAATTAAAATACCCTTTGCATATAAAGTCTAAAAGAAAGAAGTTAATCTTTTTAATGATAGACACCAAGACTAACAATTATTACATGAAAATTGAATCAACAAGGCACACCAATAAAGAGAGCTTTGTTTTTTTCCTTTTTTAAGGCAAAAGCAACAACAATCAAAGAAGCCTTAGCTAGATGGGTGAGTATATATGAGTTTTTACTTCTTTTAGAAACCATATAAGGAGAATTTTGGGGTAATTATTTAAATTTGACCATTTAGTACAGGAATCTCTGTGGTATTGGAAATCTTTAGCTATCTTGACTATGGTGGGAGCATACATGAACCTACACAGGTGATAAAATTGTATAGAACCCACTATACACTTAAGAACATATTCACACTCATATGTACAAAAGAGTACAAGTAAAATTGGGAAAATCTGATTCAAATCAGTGGATGTATCAATATCACTATCCATTGATAGATGAATGGATGAAGAAAATGTGTATATATGCACAATGGAATAATAATCAGCCATAAAAGGAGGGAATGTGACAAAATGGATGAACCTTGAAGGCATTATGGTAAATGAAGTAAATCAGGTAGAAAAAGACAAATATGTTTGATCCAACTTATATGTGGACTCTAAAAAAGCTTTACTCATGGAAACAGAGTAGAATAGTGATTGTCAAGGGTTGGGGAGTGGGAGAAATAGGGAGATGTTGGTCAAAGGGTACAAACATCCAGTTACAGACAGACAAGCTCTGGGAATCTAATGTACAGCATGGTGACTATAGTTAATAATACTGTATTACATACTTGAAAGTTGCTAACAGGACAGATCTTAAATGTTGTCAGCACCCCCAAAAATATTATGCGAAGTGATGGATGGAATTAACCTTATTGTGGTAATCATTTTGAGGTACATACATGTATCGAATCATCACATTGTACAATTTAAACTTGCACAGTTATTAAATGTCAATTATATTTTAATAAAGATGGATAAAACAATATGGTGTATAGAATTTTAGGAAGGAAACTGCATTGCGAAAAACATGCATCAATGTAACAACCCAAATTTCCATCAACTGGTGAATAGGTAAACAAAAGGTGATATATCCACACAGTGGACTACTGTTTGTCTAGTTTAAGGAACAAACTGGATTTTTGGAAGAACCTCAAAAACTTTATGCTAAGTCGAAGAAGCCAGACATAAAGCCCCATTTATTATATGATTCCATTTATATGAAATGTCTAGAAAAGGCAGTTAGAGACTGGAAGCAGATCAGCGGTTACCTGAAGGAGTGGGAGGATAGGAGTACGGCTTTAGCATAAACCAGCACAAGGGATCTTTTGGGATGATGAAAATGTTCTAAAACTGGATTGTGGTATAATTGTATAATTCTATACTTTTCTAAACATCATGGAATCATGTCCTTACAATAAATGACTTATAATATGTAAAAAATGCATTAAATATAAAATAAATATCTTGAAATATAACATCCTATAAAATTTGAACAGTTGTAATTCAGCCTTATAAATAGGATTTCCATAGAGTATGCAGATCACATCTCAATTTTTATGCCAGTGATAACCTATTAGTTTGTTATCAACAGTTTTTTGCATAATGATGTATTTTTTTTTTTGCCTTTGTATCTGGGCTTTGAATAAAAAGTCCTTCAGAGACTTGGTACCTAGGGAAACTACACAAAGTGGGTAGGATAATGAAATATTTGAATTCTTGTTTCAGTGCTTACAAACTTTATACTCTAATTTTAATTCATTTCTCTTTTGGTTTGTGACATTCTGTTTTGTTAAAGAAAAAAAGAGTATGGAGTAGGCTTAGTATTAGATTCCATTTTCCTTAAATTGAATTTCAGGACTACTACATTTATTTATAACAAGTGTTTTTTTGTTTTGGTTTGTAGGTTCTATTTCTAGATTACATTGTTGCCGTAAATATTTGACTTTCAGTTTATATGAAGATATCAAATCTCTCTTTTATTGATTAACAGCATTTACTGAGAGTCTGCTAGATGTCCATTTCTCTCCCCTAATCTACAAATGTATGGCACAAAAATAAATACTGAGTGGATATGTATTAGATCTTTCTTTCAATTGATTATGTATTTTCCATTATTGATGTGTTATGATTAGATTTTTAAAAATAAGTCTTTTGTCTTATATTGTACTGTGTTACAGAAAACACAGGAAAGCAAAGGAAATGGAACTTGGGCTTTAGGAGCTTCCTGTTTTGTTAGAGATAGAACTAACTATAATTATTGGAGTACTTAGAAAATATTAGGTAGCATATACTGGTAATTAAATTTTAAATTGTGTACTTAGTACTGAAATTAAATTCTAAAGTAGAATTTAGTAGTACATTATTGTAGAGCAAATAGCTTTGGCCTCAGCTGTGTTGTAAAGAGCATTTCTTCCAAAATCCTTGGTATTTGGGAACTCTAGCTCGGACTGAACTGTATATAGAAAAAGAAAGAGGAGATAACAAAGGAAACAATTGATCTTATGGGTCTGAATCTGATATTTAAGAAAAGGTTGTTCAGGAACAAGGAATTCTTTCAGAAGAACGTCTTTGTTGTTGTGTTTTGGTTTTGTTTATTAATTGATAACTCGTAAAGGAGTTCAAATATTACACAAATAAAAATTATTTTCTTTCCTCTTCCTTTCCATTTGGTTGGAACCTAACAATGGATTATTTTAATCAACCATGTAAAAGCCTGGTTATCAGGGTCAGTAAGTAAATGTTGTCAATAAGTGAACCCAAAAGAATGCACAGAATTATTAAATTCTAATAATTGTTTTGAAATAAACATTGAAAATCCTTGTAAATTCTGACCTTTTTAGTTCACATTAAAATCAGGAATCATTTTCTTCCAAATTAATTTTTATCATAGGAAGAAAAAACCAGTCAGAAGCCATCTGAAGCTAAAGAGATAAAGCTTTATGCCCAGATTCCCCCTATAGAGAAGATGGATTCGTCCTTGTCCACCCTTGCTAATTGCGAGTAAGTTCTGTTGTCTTTTTTCATCCATTTAGTATTGCTAAGTTTCCCTTCCTTTTCTAAATTCCCAAACTGAAAACTGTGTTTGTTTTCTCTGTCTTGATTTCCTTTTTTGTTTGCTTAATGCTATTCTCCTTTTGGCAAGGCCAGTCATAGAGATTATTGGTGTATAGGATTATTAATAGAGTAATCCTGAACAATATAGTTTTTCTTATGGTACAATTTTTATTATGTGCCTGAAACATAGAAATTTTCTTATCTCTTGGGAAAAGCTAAGTAACATAATAAAATAATCACTAGAAAGTTGTCAGTCTAGTACTTAGAGCCTAAGAGATACTACTTTAAAAAACTTTTTAAACTATAAAAATACATTGTAAACATTTAGAAAATATAAAAAAGAAAAGGAATTATTATCAACCAAAATTGCATTACTTTTTGAGAACCAGGGTTAACATTTTGATGTAGGGCCTTCTAATTTTTTTTCTAACTGGGGTCAAGTTTCACTTACTATTTTATAACCCTATTTTCCCATGACTCTAAGTGTCAAATCTATATTAATTCTGTTTAACTTATTTTCTAAGTACTCTATATACATTTTAGCAGGGTTCTGTGGCTAATTTGAGGCAGTTATACCATGAGGCCTTGTATCCATTCTCTCAGGCTGCAATGTCTCTTGTCAGGGTATAGAACTGTAGAATGTTACAGAATCATGTGGAGTTCTTTCTAATCTCTTCATCCTGTGTTATTCTAAGTGTAGTCCCCTGACTAACTCATAAGAATCTCCTTATGCAGGAGATAAGCCCCACCTCAAATTTATAGAAACAAAATATCAACTGATGGAACCTAAGAATTTGTAGTTATAATAAGCAACTTGGGTGATTCTTAGACACATATTTGTGAACGTGTACATTAGACTGTCTTTGGAATTAAGGGGCAAAGCAAATGTATTTAGGTATTGTATGCAACTTGTCCTTTGTGATGATAGCACAGTGTATCACATAAAAATTCACCTTAGGTTTTTTTTGGCTTCAAAAGCATGATTTCAGAGAGCATTATTTCAAAGTGGCCCAAATATCTTTTCATCATAAAACCATTTCAAAAACAAACATTTATACCCTGTACCAAAATATCTCAGAAACTGCCTAGAAAGAGTCAACCTATTCATGATTTTGCTGACAGTCTCTCTGGGCATGTTACCTAAACAACAATTACAGAATTACTCCCCAACCGTATTCCCAGATTTAAGGTACTCTGTTTTTCACAGGTAGTTCTTAAGAGTGGGGGTTGACTAGAAATATATACAAATTTGACCAATAATTTATACTGTACAGTAAAAAAAATTAATATTTCTTCTCCAGTCCAATCAGAAAGGACAAATAAGATCACATGTTCTAGTGTCAAATTTGGGGGGTTTAAATTTAGTGCTGTCACTTTCTGGCTGTGTAATATTAGACAAATTGCTTAGCATATCTGTGCCTCAGTTTCTTCATTTGTAAAATGTGGATAATATTTCACAGGATTGTTGTGATGGCTAACATAGTTAATACATGTAAAGTACTTAGAAGAATACTGAGCACACATTAAATGTTCCATAAAATTACTTTTATTATGTTTTGCATGAAATTTATTAAGATATTAAACATTTTTGTCAAGAAAGAAAAATTAAGAATGTGTAATTATGTTCCCTGTAAAATTTTGTTTTTGTATAATTAAAGTATGTATAGAGAAAATCTAGACAAATATATACAAATTATTAAAAGTAGTTATCTCTGGGAGAATGTGCAGGTGGTTAGGATTATATATACTTCATACAATGTGCATTTCTAAATGATTTTACACATGAGAAAATAAATATCTCCACACATGCATATATACAGTTACACTTTTTACAAAAAGGGATCATATAAATATTTTGTTAGATGGTTTTTTTAACTTAAGTACATTCATGGACATTTTCCCAAGTCAGTATCTATAACTCAGTGTTATTTGTTTTTGTGGCAGAATAGTATTTCATTATCTATTCCTTAGTTGATGGATGTTTATAGATTCTTTTTCCCAATCTTTTGCTATTACAATAATATAATAAATAACCTTATTCACATATCTTTTGGCATTTATGTTAGTATTACAGTAGGATGTATTCCTGGAAATGAATTAATGGTCAAAGAATATATGCATTAAAAAATTTAATAGATAACACTAAATTGCCCTAGTAAGGCTTTTTAAAAAATTTTCTACAATGAGTGTGTATTAAATTTTGTAATCAGAAAAAAATATGAACATTTCAAGATGGTGGAATATATGCCATTTCTGATCAGGAAAAAAAAGATTCAGTGTAAAAAGGAAATATGACTTAAATATCATCTTCTATGGGCACTTAAGGAAAAATTTCTGATATACCATATAAAATTTTTTCATATTAATTCAAGTTTTCCTTTGTTCTTTTTAAGGAAGCTTTCACTGTCTACAAACTGCATTGAAAAAATTGCCAACCTGAATGGCTTAAGTAAGTGATCCACAGTAACAGATGGGTTCTTTGATTTTCTAGTTATTGAAGTGAACATTCCAGAGAGACTATGTAATCCCAGAAGCTTGCACCTGTGTTTCACCACAGTATGTTAGGTGACAGACAGAACTATAAACCGTGTGTTGTAAATTTAAGTATCCAAGAAAATTGGAGATAGCATGATACCTGAACATTTTTAAGTCACTTTAAAGCTTTTAGAGAACATTGAGGTATCTTAAAATAGAAAAATCAGATTTCTAATTATATGTCTTTTGTTCAAATCTGTCTTCTGTTTCATACTTGTTATATTTAAAATTTAACTCCTTACCATCCCTATTTTTCCTGTGCTCTTTATCTTGATTAATGATGTCATCACCTTCCCAGTTGCCAAGGCCTCTGACTCCTTGTTCTAGTTTCCTGTGACTGCTGGAACTTGGTGACTAAAAATAACAGAAATTTATTCCCTCACAGTTCTGAAGGCCATAAGTCTAAAATCAGTTTTGCTGGGCCAATATCAAGGCTTTGACAGAGTCACACTCGCTCCAGAGGCTTTAGGGGGGAATCTGGCCTTGCCTCTTCTAGACTGACAGTTGCCACATTCCTTGACTTGTCACTGCTTCACTCTGATCTCTGCCTCTGTGGTCATATTCCCTTCTCTTTTGTCTGTGTCAGATCTTTCTTTACCTCACTCTTAGGAGGATACATGTGATTTCATTTAGGGAACACCTAGATAACTAAGGACACTCTCCCCATCTTAAGCTCTCTAACTTAAACACATCTGCAAAGTACTTTTTTCCATATAAGGTAACATTCACAGGTTCCAGAGATTAGGATATAGGTATCTTTAGTGAGCCATTATTTAGCCTACCATATTCCCCCTTTACTTCCCTCAAGCCCTACATCCAGGTTCACTAAGTCCTGTTAACTCCATTCTTTGAAAGAGCTCTCAAATAATTTGTTGCTTTTCCATTTCCAGGAGCTCCAGCTTTAACATAGACCCACATCATCTTCCCCTTAGAGAGTGTTTTTCAAACATTTTTGACTATTTTCCACAGTAAAAAATACATCTGAGTTTCATGACTTAGTACATATATTCACATGAGTACACATGTCAAATATACATATATGAGTATACATATTCCATATGAACTGGAATAAAGTTTGTAAAACAATATTTACCCTTACAGCATAAGTTCCAGTATAAATTTTAAATTTTTTATTTTATTTTTTTTTAATGCTTGTCACAATCCTCTAAGTTGATTTCACATGACCCACTGTTTGAAAAACACAGCTTTATGATTTTTGTGATAACCTCCTATTTGATCTCCTTGTCTCTTTTCTGTTCTTCAGTTGACCTTCAGCACTAATACCAGAGTTTTCTTTCTAAAAATATTATTCTCATTATTATTCCTCCAGATCATCATTTAATGTCTCCCCTTTGCCTAATAAAGACCAAGTGCCTTAATATTGCATTCAAAGTCATCTCAAATCTTGTACCACCCTTTTCACACCCAAATGCATCATTCTTTTTTATTATTTTGTACATTTGTTAATGCAGTGCTTCTTATTGAGAAGAGCCCCTTCCTCTAATAGGGAAGTCCTACAAGAAACAAAATTAAGATTACAAATTATAAGTTTAAAATGTAATTTCTCTCTCTGAAAACTTCTCTAATCTCTATCATCATAATTACTCCTTCTTTGGGAACATTTATAATAGTTGACCTTGGATTATAATAATTACCTACTTCATATAGTTATTGTGAAAAATAAATGGGTTAGTATGTATAAAGTGCTTAGAATAGTGCTTGGTACACTTAAATGCATAAGGAATATTAGCCATTGTTATAGTTACTGAGGAATATATTCTGTCCCTTTAAATAATGGGGTTCCTTGAGGGCAAGCATCAGATTTTACTAATTTTTTAATCTTCTATTCTAAATCCCCATTTCCCCCAGTACCTTATTCAAAGTTGGCATTCAGTATTTATGTAGCAGTATCTAATATACTATTAGAACAATGCATAAAATGACTCAATTCCAATTTTTCATTGATTCATTCAACATTTGAGACATTTCTTTTATTCTCTGCTGTGGTTTCTTTGTAATTACATAATTTGCTTAAAAGAGACTAACGTTTATCAATACAGGTAACATGCTTTTTTTTATTTTTGGAAAAACATAGCTATGACAATAGTGAAAATGGACAACCTTCTATATATGGCTAGCAATGGGCTGTAACCCTATTCTGATTTTGGTCAATTCTTTAGTGATTTTCAGGAAAATTGTATTAAGAAAAGTTCCAAAAAATTAGTGGAAAAGAGTACCTTGATCAGTTATTGATGAATTTACTTGTGCCATGTATTTGCCTATACTTGGTTCTGCTATAACAAATAGTACTTCTCCAGTCAGGGAATACACTTTAGCTGTGACTGTGAAGCAAAAACAAGCCACCTGATCCATATAAAGGACTGAATATGTGACTCTAGCTGGCTTCCCACCTCTTTCTTTTCATGAGCTCTGTAGTCATACATATTATGCTACGATGAGAGGATCTGAAATAAATATTCCTATTAAATGGAGTTTATAAGGCAGAATAATCCTAATGGCAGTTTATGTTTATTGCACCAAAATAATGACTGGAAAACTTCATGACATGACTATGTTCAAAACTGTGACTAAAAAGCTGCACGATGTGAATATTAATAATAAAATCATATTAAAGATTAGAAAATAAATTTTTGTCTCATATCTTTGGTAAAAAAATTATACTTTACTCCTTCAGTTTTCTAAATAAATAAACATAAAATTTTAAGGTGCTGTTTTGATTTTCATGAGGACCTTGTATGAAGAAAAACACTGTGTTTCTTCTGGTGGTGCTCTGCTTACAAAGCACATAAAATATGGAAAATCTGTGATTGTGTTAATGTTAGAGCAGTTAATCTATTAACTTTGATATCATAATTTATTTCCCTATACAGGATCGTTTTTTAACCTTTCATTACCATTTTCATGTGCATTTTTTAAAAAAGGAGTTTTATGTATTAAGTTAGATACTATCTTTGAAAGAGTTGCATATATCTGTTATTTCCAGTTTCTGAGGTGATTTCTGAGTCCCATCTTAGTTGGCCTATCAGCATATTTTGACATGGATGATTTTTTTCTTCTTTAAAGCAATTTCAATATTTGGCTTTTAGGACACTGTACCCTCCTGATTTCCTCTTGCCTCTCTGAAGTACCATGGGACTTAATGCTTAGATCTCTTTTCTGTCTTCATCTATTTTCCTAGCTTATCTCATCCAGATCATGGCTTTACCATCTATATGCTGATGGCTGCCAAATTTATATCTTTAGTCCAGACATCTCCTCTGAACTCCAAATTTGCACATTTAGTCGCCTGATATGGATGTCTAGTAGACATCTCAAATTTAACATGTCCAAAACTGAGTCCTGATAACCTTCCCTAGCCCCAGTTAAGCCAACTTTTTCTATGTCTGTCTCAGATAGTGACAACTCCACTCTTCCAGTTGCTTAGGCCAAACTTCTTGGAAATTTCTCGACTCCTCTCTCGTACATCCCCTGTAAGACCTATTGTCTTTCTGACTTCATCTCATATTACTTTCCTCTCATTGTCTCAGCTAGCTTCTTATGTTTTGTGAACACTTCTGATATGGTCCTGGCCTCAAAGCCTTTGTACTTGAAGTTCCTCTGCCTGTAAATGTTCTTCTTCCAGATATTCTCAGGGCTAGCTGCATCACTTCCTTTGAGTCTTTACTTAGAAGTCACTTATCTAAAATATTAACTATTCCCAACTGACATTTTATTCCTTTCACCTGCTTTTTTTCTCCTTCATATTTGTCAGTATCTAATATACTTACTTATTTTATTATCTGCCAAATGTTAGCTCCATGACAGCAGGAATTTTTATCTGTATTATTCACTGTTATATTGCAAGTGATTATAGCTGTACTTGACATATCATAGATGCTCAATAATAATGTAATATTAATATTACATTAATGTTAATATAGATATTAATAACTTTGAATAATTTTTATTAATAACTTTTTGAATAAACTTTTTTCTGCATGAAATAGAAAAAATGGTAATTTTTCCATATCAAGAAGCTTTAAAGAATAATTGATTTCCTTAAATGTTTAATTTTCATACATTTATAATTATATGGGATATATAAGTTTGTTACGGCTGCCCTAACAAATATCACAGACTTTTAAACAAAAAATTTTTAAACAACAAATTTTTTTCTCACAGTTGTGGAGCTAGGAGACCGAGATCAAGGTATCAGCAGGATTGATTTCTTCTGAGGTTGCTCTCCTTGGCTTGGGGATGGCCATCTTTTCCCTTTCTCTTCACATGGTCTTTACTCTGTTTCTGTCTGTGTCCTACTCTTCTGTTCTCATAAGGGCACTAGTCATATTGTATTTTACCTAAAATGATCATTTTACCTTAATTACCTCTTTAAAGGCCCAAATGTAAATATAGTCACATTCTGAGGACTTCACCATTTGAATTTGTGAGAGGGATACCACTCAGCCTATAACATGGGGTCTTGTTTCAATAGTTAAAACATTTTGCATGAATTAGGTCACTCTTAAAATATACCTTCTTCTAAAAGTTAAATGTTTCTCATAAGAAAATTCAAAATAATTAATTTAATTATTTAATATTTAATTAATAAATTAAAATTCTTAAATTATATAAAAACAAAGTTTATTGTTTGTTATGCTTCAGAAGATTGGAGACTGTTGAGAACTAGGCTTGGGGTTGATTAATGATTGTGCATTGAGTCCCCTATACAGAATTTTATTGTTGTTAACAACCATTTGATCAATAAATATGAGAGACGCCCTCTCACAAAAACAAAAACAAAAAAAACAAAACAAAAACAAACAAACAAAGTTTATATAACTATATATGCCTAATACACACATCATGGGTTAGGCATTGTGCTGAATGTTTTAGACAGTTATCTCATTTAATCCTTATATTTTTATAAAATAGATATTATATTTCCTCATTTTACATATGAAACTGTGATTCAAAGAGGTTTGGTTGCTTTTCTAGAGAGTTGGGATTGGGACTCCGTTGGATTTGTGTTCTTAACATTGAGTTGTGAATGTTATGGAACAGTGCCATCCGGTAGAACTGCACTGTCCCAGTACAGTTGCCACTAGCCATATACAGCTATTAAGCTCTTGAAATGTGGCTAGTGTGACTGAGAAATGGACTTTTTAAATAGCCACATGTGGCAATAGCTACCATATTGGAGAGCATAGTTATGAAATTTAAGTTGAGAAAACTAAATATATAACTTATATATAAATAATTGCAGTAGTTTTTTTTAGAACAGAAGTGAGGTTTCCTATGCTTTAGTAGAAATCCTTTTTTAATTTTCAAACATAATATATGCACATGGTTTCAGGCAAATAGTTCAAAAGAGGTTTGAAAAATGTCTTCCTTTGACCATAGACTCAAAGGTATACATTCTTTGATTTCACTTCTAGTCCTTTGTGGAGTGAGGTAGACTATATATGCATATATTTCTGTTTTCTAGTGTGAATCTTACCTACTATAGGAGATTTGTAATATATATGCTCCCAGATTTAAAGTTCAAATCTTCTCCACTCTTACTTTACCCCTGTAATATTTGTACTAGCCAGAAATGCAAGACCATACATTCCAAGTAGCTAAGCGTTTTTAAATTAAATATTGGCATGATGTGAAATCACAGTTGTAGTGTTTACCTTAGGTGATAGGTCAATGTTATTTTCTACTTGATTACCACTTTTTACTAATATAGCCTTTCTTACTCATTATGTAAGGATGTTTATTTTATAAAATTTATTAAAGCTTTATTATACTTGATTTGCAACAGTTGTATAATATGATTCTCATAAACAAAAAACTGTTTTCTTTCCACTACAGAAAACTTGAGGATATTGTCTTTAGGAAGAAACAACATAAAGAACCTAAATGGACTGGTAGGTTGTTATTTATTACTTAAAAAAGCATACACTTTTTTTCTTAGTATACAAATATTTATCCATTGAAGAAACTTAGAAAAGCAACTATAAAGAGTACCTATAAGCCACTGACAATTTAAATATTTGCTAACATTTTGATTGACATTTCTTTTGCCTTTTTCTATTCTTTGATGAGTATATATAGAATGAAATCATACCATATATATTGTTTTGCATCTGTTTTTCTTAATATGTAAAGATAATTTTTTTTCTCTGTCATTCATTCATTCAACAAGTTCATGCCAATGTATTTCCTGAGTGCCTGCTTTAAGCCAGGTACTGTTCTAGAGGCTAGAGATACAGCATAATAAAAAACAAAGTCCTTGCTCTCCTAGAACTTACATTAGAGTGGAGGGAAATAAACTAGAAAATAATGTTATAATACCTCAGGTGGTGAGGAATACATGGAGAAAAAAGAGGCATATAAGAGAATATAGGTTGATGAGGGTCCTCGCTGGAAGTGAGGATGTGGGCCATAGAGCTGACCAAGGGCAAGTGCTCCGGGTTGAGGTGGAACAGCAAATCCAAATGTCCTGAAATTGAAGCTGCTTGGGGTGCCTGAGTAAGAGCAAAAGCATTGAATGAGGGAGGGAGAATAGTCCTAAATGAGGTTGGGAGGGAGCCAGGAACCAGGCCACATCAGGCCTTATAGGTCATGGAGATTTTTAATTTTTTTCCAAGTGGCTTCAAAAACCATTGGAAATTTTTGATCAGAGGATGTGACTTAAGTTTTTAAAATAATTTTCAACCATACCTTTTTTAAGGGCAGCATAATATTCTATTTTATTGATGTATCATACTTTATATAAATCAGTTACTTACTAATCATTTATTTCCAATTTATTGGAAATAAAATATTTTAATCATCCAAGTGATGGTTATAAAATAATAAAATAATAAAATTATTATAATCAGTGCTGTTATGAATCTCCTTTTAGCTATATTATTGCACAAATCTATGAATAATTCCTTGGATCAATTCCTTGAGATGGAATTGCTGGGTCAAAAGGTTTTAATTTCTTTTAAGGCTTTTGCGACATATTATGAAGTTACCATTTGGAAAGTTTGTAACAATTTTATATTCCCACCAGTAATGTATGAGGGTTTCCATTTCTCCTACCAACTTTGAGCATTTTAATTTTTTAAGATTTTGACACTGTATTTTATTTGTATATTTATTGGCCATTTGAATTCCCTTGCAAAGAAGTTGAGATGAAACAATATTGTAAAGGTAGGCAATTTCAGGAAAGACAAAGCTAATTGTTTTCTTGTACCTGTTCTCCAAAAGACAAAAATTTTAAATAAGTGTTTGTGGTTAAATAATTTACAAACATTCTGAAATTTTGTATGACTCTAGCCTTCTTCCCCCTCTCCCAATAAGTCTAGCTTGTGCTTCAGAAGAGCCATTGGGGGTGAAATTGCAGTGTATCCCAACAATAACCTCCCAAGCCCAGAGAGGTAAAATGGCTACCCCCATTCCCCCATTACAGAAACATCTATAATACCTGCATAGGAGTTCAAAGGTGCAATTTTGGGGTTATTTTGAATCATCTGAATTATATTCCCACTTCCCAGTGTTAGTTTACCCACGTAAAGTGTTACTAATAAATTTATAAACTTATAAAATGTTTGGAAATTCTTAGATATTATATTCTGGAGTTAAATAAGGGAAATTTTCTCCCCCAAAGCAATAACCAACAGATGAATTACTTTCTAGTTAGATATGATGAATAAAATCCTTAATCTGTAAAAAATCTTTTTGATGTTCCAAGTGATTGGTCAGTTTAAAGATATTTTGCCTTCTCTCCATTCTCTGAGCTTTGGATGGTAAAAATGTCAACTTTAGGGACATTGTTTATCATGGGTAAAAAATGAAATTGCAGTACAGAAATTCTGAATTTACTGTACTTTGGGCTAAACTTACTTTGAATTATCTGTAAAGGAATAATTTGCAAATAAATGTACCCCCAAAATAGGATTGTTTGATGTTCCCCCAGGTATTTAGAGAACACCAGAGTCTCCAGTATTATTATAGTATATAATTTCTTCCATGAAATGTAATATATACCTAGAAACCACAAAGAAATTGTAAATGTAGGATTAAAGATGTGTGGAGATATTATCTAGCTGAACCATCACTTGCTTAGAGCTCTTCACTTTGTATAGATTCATATCAATTAACATCCAACAGTTAGTTTTCTTTCCAGGATGTGTGTATGTATGTGTGTGTATACATACATAATAACACAATACCTCAGGGATGTTGCGGGTTGGTTGCAGACTACCACAACAAGGCAAATACTGTAATAAAGTGAGTCAAGTGAATTTTTTGGTGTCCCAGTACATATAAAAGTTATTTACACCATTCTGTAGTCTATTATGTGTGTCATAGCATTATGTCTAAAAAAATGTGTGTACCTTAATTTAAAATACTTTATTGCTAAAAAATGCTAACCATTGAGGTCTTGCCCCAGTGTTGACTATTGCCTGCTGATCAGGGTGGTGATTACTAAAGGTTGGGGTGGCTGTGGCAATTTCTTAAAATAAGACCACACTGAAGTTTGTCATCAATTAACTCTTCTTTTGATAAATGATTTCTCTGTAGTATGCCATACTACTTGACAGCATTTTACCCACAATAGACCTTGTTTCAAAGCTGGAGTCAATCTTCTCATACCCTGCCTGCTTTATCAAATAAGCTTGTGTAATATTCTAAACCCTTTGTTGTTATTTCAATATGTTTCACAGCATCTTCAGCAGGAGTAGTTTCCATCTCAAGAAAACACTTTCTGTGCTCATCCATAAAAAGCAACTCCTCATTGATTCAAGTTTTATCATGAGATTGCAGCAATTCAGTCACATCTTCAGGGGCCACTTCTAATACTAGTTCTCTTGATATTTCTACCACATCTGCAGTTACTTCCTCCACTGAAGTCTTGAAACCCCTCAAAGTCATTCAGGAGGGTTGGAATCAGTTTCTTGTAAACTCCTGTTAGTGTTGATATTTTGACCTCTTCCCATGAGTCACAAATGTTCTTAATGGCATTTAGAATGGTGAATCCTTCTAGGAGGTTTTCAGTTTACTTTGCCCAGATCCATCAGTGGAATCACTGTCTATGGCAGCTATAGTGCTATGAAATGTATTTCTTAAATAATAAGACTTGAAAGTAGAAATTACACCTTGACTCATGGACTAAAGAGTGGGTGTTGTGTTAGCAGGCTTATAACAATATTAATCTTGTTGTACATCTCCATTAGATCTCTTGGATGACCAGGTGTATTGCCAGTGAGCAGTAATATTTTCAAAGAAACATTTTTTTCTGAGCAGTAGATTTCAACAGTGTGCTTAAAATATTCAGTAAATCATGTAACATGTGTAAGCACTGTCTTTCAAGCTTTGTTTTTCCATTCATAGAGCATAGGTAGAGTAGATTTAACATAATTCTTAAGGGCCCTAGGATTTTTGGAATGGTGAGTGAGCATTGGCTTCAACTTAAAATTACCAGTTGCATTAGCCCCTAACAAGAGATCCTGTTCTTTGAAGCTTTGAAGCCAGACATTGACTTTTCCTCGCTATCTATAAAATTCTAGATGGCGTCTTCTTCCAATACAAGGCTGTTTCATCTACAGTGGAAATCTGTTGTTTAGTGTAGTTATTTTCATTAATGATCTTAGCTAGGTCTTCTGGATAACTTGCTGCAGCTTCTACATCAGCACTTGCTGCCTCACCTTGCAGTGTTACGGAGATGGCTTCTTTCCTTTAGCCTCATGAACCAACCTCTGCTAGCTTCAAACTTTTCTTCTGCAGCTTCCTCACCTCTCTCAGGCATCACAGAATTGAACAGTTTGTTCCTTGACTTTGGTTCAAAGGAATGTGGTGGCTGGTTTGATCTTCTATCCAGACCACTGAAACTCTCTCCCTGTCAGCAATAGGCTGTTTCACTTTCTTATCATTCGTGTGTTTGCTGTTTTGTTTTTTTATCGTTCATGTATTCATTGGAGTAACACTTAACTTCCTTTGAGAACTTTTCCTTTGCATTCACGACTTGGCTAACTTGTGCAAGAGGTCTAGCTTTTGGCTTACCTTGGCTTTTTGACATGCCCTCTTCACTAAGCTGAATCATTTCTAGCCTTTGATTTAAAGTGAGAGACGTGAGACTCTTCCTTTTACTTGAACACTTAAAGGCCATTGTAGGGTTATTTTATGGCTTAATGTCAATATTTTGTCTCAGGAAATAGGGAAGCCTGAGGAGGAGGAGACGGGAGAATGGTGGAGCAGTTAGAGCACATACATATTTACTGATTAAGTCCACCATCTTACATGGGTGAGATTTGTGACTCCCCGAAATAATTACAAAAGTAATTGTTAAAGATTTACTGATCATAGATCACCATAACAAATATAATAATAATGAAAAGCTTTGATAAATTTCAAGAATTACCAGAAAGTGACACAGACACGAAATGAGCAAATGCTATTGGAAAAATGATGCTGATAGACTTGTTCAAGACAGGGTTGCCACAAACCTTCAGTTTTTGAAAAAACAGTATTTGCCAAGTGCAATAAAGCAAAGCACAATAAAATGAGGTATACCTGTATATACACCAAAAGCAATAGTTTACTGGTTGTAAAGCTTTACTATTTATGCATAGACTAAAGAAAAATAAATCTTCAGAAGGATGCTGATTCTAGGCCTCAGGGAGGTTCACATACTAACTAATTTATTCATCTAGATACACCAGCCTCATAGCATGATTTAGTAGCTGCCTCAGTAAGTTATGTTCTAAGATATGGAACATGGAATGTCAACTTGAAGGAAAAGGGTCTACTTAAAACTACTTAGGAAAATTATGAAGGTGTATTATAAGCCCAATTGTTTATATAACCTGGCCTCTGCCTTCCTTTTGGGTCTCATTTCATAATTACTCTTCTTCCTAGTTGGCAGTCTCCAGTGACT